ATTTATTAATAACATTTCATGGTCTGTTTTATTAACAAAACATATACAAAGACAAAATATGTTTTTAAAATGAAAATAACAGTAAGCTTTGTTAGTAAAATAATGTATACTAAATATGATAACAATATAATAATTCTCAATTAATAAAAGATACTTTTCAATTTTTAGCATGTCTGTAATCTGTGACAGGTTAAACCACTAATATCGATCCCTGTTTGATTATATTTTCAGAATAAGACTTGACTATCATAAACTATTAAAAAAAAAAAACATAAATTCAAAAATTGTCTTTGAATATTAACAAATATTATAACTACTTTTTAAGCAAAACAAACGATATGCCATTTCTTTAATCATGCTATTGTTCAACACATTACTTATTTAAAAGATACTTTTTTTACTCAATTCTACCTCTTTCGAATGAAGATAACACAAAATCTAAATTCTATATCATTTATTCACGAACTCATATTTTCACAGTACTTTGATTGAACAGTCACAACTAAAATCATCAAGAAAAATATTCAGATGATTTTATTTTTGTTTCATTACATTTATCTTTGAATTTATCTAACACAGTTCATAATGTTGACCTAATGTTTTGACAGTTTGAAGTAAAAATGAAGTGATGTCAGAAATATCATTCTTATTCATTTTCTTAATTCTGTTTATAAGTTTTTTTTTAAAAAAAAATATATCTGAATTTGTATAAACTGCGAGGCATTTGAAACTTTATTAAAAAATTAGTTCTCTTTTACAATAAATCTTATTAGAAGTTAATAGGTATTTAAACTTTTAATTTGCATATTTTACTTATGTTAGATAAAAAAAAGTTAATTTATAAAATTGCAAACAAAATAAATAATAATCAAATATGATCAAATCGTTTTTTATATATTCAGCTTTAAATTTGTAATTAAATAGTTTTTTGATTTAAGGCATATATAATCAGATAGTGATTGAAATCAGTAGCTTAACCTGTCACAGATTATGAATATGCTAATTTTTAATTTTACAGTTTTTTTACTGTGTTCAGTTTTATCTTAAATACTAAGACACAATATTCTTTTTCTTATAAATACAACCTGAATTCAATTAAGAATTTTTGGGAAGTGGTGCCAAATTTAGAACATAACGCACTAGTATGTTATGCATATTACATACTAAAATGCTATATAAAAATGTTTTCAATAGACATTTCCTTTTTTGTTCAAATAGGCAATATGGCAGCTTATGAGGAGACACAAAATCACTAATCAACAAATTAAAATATTTTGAATAAACGAAATTGGAAAATCTGGAAAAAACAAACACAAAACAAAATTATATATTGGTTAATATATTATATGCTATAATTATAAAGCAACTCTAAATATAGTAAATGTGTGCATTGTAATGAAGCTAATATGAATAAAGCATAGTGCCTATCATATAATCCTGACATAAAAACAACAAGGTGAACAAGTAAAAATAAAGTGATTGGCCTCTATATAAAAAAGTTTCAGTTTAGAATCTGGGAATATGAACACATAATTGAGTAAATTCTATATAACAGATTAGTTAATAAAAAAATTGGCAATAGAGAATTTGGTTTAGTATATTTTGCACCCCGGTTAGTTAGCATACAAAAAATTAAAAAAATTAAAATTAATGATGACAACTATTTATATAAAAGATCATAAGAACCAAATAGTACTATTGCACTCAAGACCTTGTCTGGTTCTTTAAAAGAAATAAGTTAATTTAGCATTTTATAATTAATTTAATAGTTAATTTATTAATTAATTTATTAAATTAATAATTTAAACTTTAAGTTTAAAAGCCTTATAACATGTAATTTAAATCATAGTTCTTAATATATGAAATAACTCAAAATTCAGAGACAAACAAATACTTTATGGCATTTTAGTATGCTGACAATGAAAGTCTTTATAAATATTTAACAAAAAAATTTAGTAAACTCAGATGTCAGTTTAAATTACAAATACTTAAAGATATTTTGCAAAAGTTATATTGTATTTATGATTTTGCAAACTATGTTTATGCAGATTTCCATTGTGGTAATATTTTACAAAACCAATATAATAATATAAATACAAAATCTTATATTACAGATCTAGAATTATCTAAAAAAAAAGATGAATTCTCTTCAAAAGATATAATTTATAAAGGAATGTTCAGAGTTTGCCTTTTCACCTTTCACTATAAATATTAGGATTGTGTTGTAAATCAATGACAAAAAATAATATTTATATTTATGCATTGCTAATTAAAAACAAAAAACTCAAGCCTTTATTTGATATCAAACAAATTTTATTTAATTATATTTAAATTTTATTAAAAGCATTACTAGAAATGGAGTAGTGAAATCACAAAGTGTATGCTTATATAACGTTTTAAATGAGTATGTTTGCAAAATCTTAAGTTTGATTTGTTTGCATAAGTATACTAATTTTAATCAATATAGCTTTTAGATTTTTGTGTCTTTGAGCTTATAGCTTACTAAGCTTAACCTTTTAAACTAATAATAAATAAATAATATTAATACAATTTTAAAAAAAATAGGCTTTGAGTTTTTGAGTTTATAACTAATAGACTCAACCTTTAAAAAATAATAACAATGTGGTTTTAAAAAAAACTAGATTCTATATTTTTGAATTTATAAATTAAATTTTATAATAATATTTAATAAATAAATAAAAAAATTAAATTATTATTTATCAAGATTTAATAAATTTAATTTATAATATATTAAGTTATTGTTTATTTAGAATAGAATTATTTATAAAAAAGTCTCAAGCTTTTTATTTATTTATTTAAGACTTTTATTATTAAATATTTTTTTGCTTAGTATAACCTTATTGTTTATTATAAGCAATAATTTAATAAGCTCTTTAGTTTGGATATAAGCCTTTTAAGTCTTTTTTTAATATAAAAGTTTTATAAACAGGTTAAAATTTTAATATATACAATAGATGTTAATTTTGTATAAATAGACATATTTTTTGTCTTTCTAAAAAAATATTTCTGAATTGATTCTCATTAAAAATTAATAAAATCTTTAAAATTTTTTTTGTTTTAATATAATAAAAAATAAACTTTTATAAATTTAATTTTATTATTTAAAACTAATATTTAATGTTTGATATTATACTTGAAAATATATCTAAAAATATTTTTAAAAAAGTAAAAGAGGTCATAAAGAATCTTGTATTTGTGATTATTTTAATAAAGAATTTATAGAAGATGAATATTATACAGTAAAATGTTCTTATTATTTTAAAAAATAAACTAGAGAAAGATCTGATAAATTAAAATCTTATTTAGCATTATATTGTAATAATATATTATAGAATATTAAATTAGAATATTTAGAATTATTTGTTACTGATAATTCTAATAAAAAAATTAAAAAAGATAAAAGTAATTCTAAAAAATTAATAACAAGTTTTTATAAATTACTAACAAAAATTGAAAAAAATAAAAAAAATAGAATTAATTAAGTATTAATTAGATTTTTTATATATTATAATATTTCATTTTCTACTATTAATCATCTATAGTTTATAGATTTTATTCAATATCTTTGTCTTAATTATATCTTTCTTAAAAGAAGAATACTTTTATCAACTATTTTAAATCAAGAAATTTCTTCTGTTTTAATTAAAATTAATAAGAAACTTGAATATAAAAATAATTTAATATTGGGTAATAATATATTTAAATTTATTATTTATAATTTTAATTAAATTAATATAATTTATAATTTATTAGCTATAGATAAATAGTGTAGTTCTTTAGAAAAATCTATTTATACCTTTATAATTATTACATCTAGCAAAAAATAATATATTCATGTTTTAATTGATGAATCAAGCAAATTTTATACAGTTTTTTTTAATACTTCTAAAATTAAAAAAAATTTAAATTTAATCAGTTTTAAAAAATTTGTAGCTATTGTTTCAAATGCAGAATTAGCTATGCAATTAGTAAAACAAATTATTTCTACTAAATATTCTTTTATATTATCTATTAGATATATAACTCATTATATTAATCTTATTATTCACATATTATTAAATTAGATTTTACTAAAAATATTTTTAAAAAATATTAAATATTAATATTATTTTTTAAAAATTCTTATTGTGCTAGTACTGCTTTTTAAAAAGATATTTTTAATTCTTTTATAAAAGATAAAAGATTAAAAACATTAGTAAAAACAAGGTGGTTTACTGCTTAGGATTGTTGAATTTAATTATTAGATTAAAAAATAATCTTAAAAATATAAGTTAAATTTTATTTTTTTTATTAAATTTTTTAAAGTTTTAATAATTTTATATATTTTGTTTAGGTTCTTAAAAATCAGTCTGAAATTTTTTAAGTTACTTTAAGTATTAAAAATATTTTTGAAATTATTAATTTTAGCAAAAATTAGAACAATTAGAAACAATCCTTATATCTTCTAAAAGAGCAATTCAAGCAGTTAAAAATAAATCAAGTAATATGGCATTATATTTTTTAGAATTAGATAAAATGTCAATTGCAAATAAAAAAATTTCTAATATAACAGATTATGATTTTAAAAACAATGCATCAAAATTTATAATAAGTATTAAAAGCAATTTGATATTTTAATATATCTTCTTGTTTATTTTTTATATTCTAAATATAGAAATATGATTAATTATATTTTATTTTTAAGTTTAAAAATATATAAATTTTTATAAATTTATAGTTTATTAATGTAATTTAATTTTATTTTAGATAAAAGTTGTAAAGATAAAGTATTTCATGAAATTTGTTTACATACTATAAAAATTTAGAAAAATTTTGGTGAAAATACAAATAGTTATAAAATTTTATTAACCCAATTTAGAAAATATTCAAAAAAAACTGAACCATATGATATAAAATATATTGAAGATCATAATACACCTGAAATTTGATGAACAACTTGTAAACAATCAGTTAATTATATACAACAATTAGTATTAAAAATGTTTACTAATGTTTTTTATCAAGCTAGTAAAAGAGTATTTTCAGTTTTAAATCAGATGTTAGAAAATAAAAGAATAAGGTATAAATAATATTTAATTTAAAATAATAATTTTATTAATTTTATTAATTTATATTTAAAAATTTTTATAAATTAATATTAAGTATCTTCAATTAATAGCATAAATTTATTTATTTTATATTATAAATATAAAATTTAAATTAAAATTTTTTAGAAAAAATTTTAATGAAGAAATACTTAAAACTATAGTTAATAAAATATTAGAAAATTTAGTTGAAGATAATAATCATTTTGATAAGAATGAAAATAAAGATAAAAATGAAAATAAAGATGAAGATAAAAATAATAGGTTTGATTTAGATAATAAAAAAGATGAAACTAATTTTAATAATTTACTTATAGTAAAATTAATAGATTTGAATTTTTATGATAATAATGAAACTTAAACTGATTTATTTTCAAATTAACAATAATTAGAAAATGAAGAAAATTCAAATGTTGATTTAGAAACAATATTTGCTAAAAAATTTTAAAATTAAAATATTATTTATATTTATATATTAATTTTTTTATATTATTTATTATAGTTTTTTTTCTATTATAATTATTATTTAAATTTTTTTCTGTTACAAAATTTTTTTATGCTATAGTATATAGTTCAAAAACATTATAATTTAAATATTTTTATTTAACAATTTTTATTTTATTTGTAATTTATTTTTTATAAATTTTTTAAGTTTTTATTTTTATTAATCAATTAAGTTGAGAATTTATTGTAACAAAATTAGTATGATGACTAGGTCTTTGGTAAAATATTATATTGTAATATTACAATATTATAATTATATTATTATAGTTACAGATTATGGTTATAATGTTATACTTAAACTTTTCTGTACTATTATAATTAATAATCATATTATTAATTATTTGATTTTCTTTTTTTTTATTATTTATTTCAATTATATATATCTTTTATTATTTTTATATATATTTATTATACTTATTTCAATTTGTATAATTATAGCTAGTTACTTTTTTTAATGAATATTGGCATAATACTTTTAATATTATCATATTTAACCTCTATATTAAAATTACCCTAAGATATATAAAAACAAAAATGTCAAAAATTAGGTCCAAAGTAATAAAGATCTTATCTTATTTAATTCTAATTTGACTACTTCACCTTATGAATGTCTTCTAAAGTAATACTAAAACTAAAGATCATATGCCTGCTCATGAAGCCTTTATTTATTATTAACTTCTAAAATTATTTTTATAAGAATGCTCTAGTTCTTTAATAAGAAAGAAATCTGATATTAGTTCAATTGTTACTAACTGATATGATGATATGAGAGAAACATCTTAGGTTACTCATAATAGACCTTCAAAAAGAATATAAAATATTAGAAAAAGTAAGAAGATGTGTTGTATAGGCAGAAAGTGTTCTGAATTAGAGTATAATATAAATAGTTATACAGTTATGTAATAGAAAAAAGTTGTTATTAATAGAATAGTTTAAATAATTTATATATTTATAATTATATATTTAAAGACTTAAAAACTCACTTTTAATAAAGATCAAACTTTAATTTCATATAAAAAATTATAAATAACAGATTCTTTATGATATGTTGTTTTTCTATTATAAAGACTTCTTTATAATCATATTAATTTTTTTTTTTTAATATTAATGGTGAGGCCATGCCTCTATCTTTATTGAATATTTATTTGAAATTTTTACATAAAG